AGTGCTGTTTTATTATGTACAGAAATACAGAAGCGCAGTGTGTGCCTTGAAGGAAACGTTTCACATAATATTTACTATGCAAACATATCTAGAGGCCATAGCAAAAAGTTGGAGGCCTTCCATATAGGGTTACTGACTTGTGTAACAAATCCCTGGTAAAGCTGGGCTGAATTTCAGAGGAAGATTGAGATTTCCCCCACCCGCCTCTAAAGGGAGGTCCTGAAAGCGGGCCAGGGTGTCCATATGTCTTGGAAGAACAGAGGTAGTGAAGAAGGGGGTGAGAGATGCAGGCAGAGATCTCTAATTGTCCTGTTTTATCTCTTCGGAGGTTTCTGAGGAAGCCAAGGAGGATGCTGAAGAAGGCATCCAAAACTAGCAGGGCTGTGCCTGGGCACTGGCAGCAGCAGGATCCCTCTTTGCTGATATTGTGGACATAAGGGCCACCGTCAAGTCTTCCCTCTGTCCCTGTGGTGTCCTCAGGCCTGCGTGAGGGACTGCTGTAGGTGTCCTTCGTGTTGGAGGACTGGAAAGGTCCCGTCTGGGCTCAGCGCCCTGCATTGGTTCGTGTGTAAAAGGACTTTATTTGCAAGCTTGGCTTCAATAGTTGCTGTATTGGGTGTTCAGGGGCTGGAGGGCTCTGCAGGGAGAGGCTGGAGCTGCCTTAGGCTGGTTCTGGCCAGTTCCGGGCAGGTTTGGGCGGCCCCTGGCAAGGCACAGTCTGGCCCCACAACTGGGGAATCTGAGGTAAGATGTGAAAAATGCTGGGAAAAGGAGAGGAATGAGGAAAAAAGTGTGAGGAGCAGCCCTGCAAGGGGGAGGAGGAGGAGCGTGAGGACCAGCACTGAGGCAGGAAGAGAGGTGCACCAAGTGCTGGGGCAGAGACTCCCCTGCCACCTGCGCTCAAAGTGAGTCTTCCATGGGTTGCAGCATGGATGCTTCCAGAAGGAACCTGTGTTTCCCCTGCACCCCTTGAGGTGGGGAATGGAGTTGGCAAGGAAGGGGTCAGCTGGATCCTGGAAAAAGGGGTAGTGTGGGGGGAAAGTGTGGTAATTCCTGTCTGTTTCTTGCTATTATCTGCTTGAATTGGTGGTAAATCAACTTTCCTCTGGTCAAGTGTAATGCCAGTGATGGTGACTGGTGAGTGATCTCCCTGCCTTTATCCTGACCCACAAGCTTTTTCATCTTGATCCTCCTGTCCAGTTGAGGAGTGAGAGAGCAGCTGGCTGGGCAGCTGGCCACAGTCAATCCACCACAGCTATATGTTCTTAAACCCAATAGGGGCTTACATATTGGTGCAAAAACATTAGCTGTTTCGCTAAGTTACACATCATATCATAGAGCTTGGACAGCAGATTTCTGGTCAGAACACGGTTTTGCTCTGTCTCTCCTCTGCTTTGCTTTGTGAGGCAGAAGCAAAATGGGAGGACAAAAGGGGACCCAATGACTTGAGAGATCGAAAGGTAATAAGCTGAGTACAGGGACAGAAGTAGTTGGAGCCCTGAAGTGAGGGCAAGATTGATAAATGGAGCTCTTCAGCACCTTTGAGGTGGGTGGTTTGGGTTACTGCGGTTGCTTGGGAAAGCTCGCAGCAATTTTTGTCACCGAGATGCTGGCCAGGAGGTTTTAGGATGCTATTAGAACCAGGAAAGACGTTCAGTTCTTCATGCTGTGGAAGTCAGGATGGAGAGGAAAATAGCTGTTGCTAGTTGGAAAAGGTGAGCTGCTTCATGTCTGACTTAAGCAGCCTCATTTAAAGGAGGCCCTTTATAAATTGTAAAATAGGTGTTGCAGCTGGCACTTGCAAATGTATCTCTTAATTTCTTACTGTGAGTAAAATCTTTTTTACATGGAGGATGCTCTGTTTTTCGCAAAAGGTCTACAGCTTTTGCTGCGCTGATACTCCAGGTAATGAGTTAGCAACATCTTTTACTTGTGTTCTAGATTAAGATAGTCCCCTTTTCCTTGTTTGGGGTGGGTTTTTTTCTGGACAACTTATTTTCTGATTTTAGTTAGGGTTTGGAGACTTGGCATCCCAAAGTGGTTACCATTCTAACATTGATAATTACATAAAACACAGAACAAGCTCTGCCAGATTGCGCCCTCTTTTCCCATCAGAGAGTACTCTCTGGTACCTGAAAGGCTTCTTTTTTTCCAGTAGGGCTTTGATTAAAGTTGTCACCCATGTAGAGTTGAGATAGCTCCTTTAGGACCTGTGGAGATGCTGTTATTTTTACCTTTGGATTGTCTGATACAGACCTTGACAAAGCTGGAGGAAGCATTAGTTTTAGACAAAGGAGTGGGATTTCTTTTTTTCCTCTTGCTCCCTTAATCATTATGGGAGCAAAGCTGCTGCGTAACCCTGAGCTTCTTAACATGCATCTTGCTGCAGATGAGACAGGAAACAAGAATCGAATGGATGTGAAAAGTGAATTCCTGCATATATTCTCCCAAGACCCAGACAGTTGTTCTGGTGCTTAAAGCTTTAGATTTCAGTGGTCTGGCTTCGGTGCTTTTCACACTCCAAATATTGCTTATTTTGGAAATGGTGGACAAGGCTGTCTCAACTGAAAACTGGAGGTAGTAGTTATTCCGTGCTCTGCTGCTGAAGTGGTGAGCTGTTGACTGTTTGTCTGCAGACAAACAATCGTGAGATCTGGTCAGCAAAACTTGAAACAAGCTCCTCTCCTCTGTCCCACACTGCTTCAGTCCCAAGCTTCAGCCTTCTGGCACATTTCTGCATAAAGCTGTTGAACTGCAGGCGTTGAATAAAGGGTTCAAATGCTTCTCCTCATCTCAATTTTGAAACAATGCCTGCCCTTAAAGAATAAAAATGATTGATGATTCCTTAAGCTCTCGCTAACCTTGGATGGCAGACGATGGCGTTTAGGTCTCTGCTGACTTAGAGTTCATTTGTTCTTTTTTTCTTTTCCTCACCAGTAGAGACCGTTTTCTGAGATAAGACATTTCTAACAGCAGTATTGCAAGGCACAGTTCAGAACTGCAGGAGTGACAGATACGTATAGTTTAACCAGCGTCTCTTCCTGGCAGCATACTGCTGTGGGGTTAATGAAACAGAGTTTGTTTAGACCTGAATCAGGGTGAAAGAATTGTCAAAGAGGTTAGACACCTCAGCTTTTTGATGAGTCACCTAGCATGTCCTGTTTTTCAACCTGTTTTGCCTTTCCCCCTGTCCTTGCCTGTATTGTTTGAGGGCAGGAGACTTCTGGAACTAGTTTATAACTGTCAAATACTCATGGCCTTAAGGTAAAGTCTTTGCAGGTGCTAGTTGGTAATATCTTTCAGTTATATAGCTGTTTTGCAAACGGGATAATGCTGGGTTTAGCGGGTTTTAGGATTTTCTGAAAACTGCTACTAAATTTTTGGGCTGCTGTGCAAATCTGGTAGAAAGGCAGGCTCTTCATGTGCAGTATTTCCAAAACAGATTATTAATGCCATGTGAAAGGGAAGAGTAAAGCAGTGAAAAGCATGTATTTAAAAGTGTCAGCTCTGCCGTGGAGTTGGGTAACAGTGCTTTGTGGTAGTGCTGTCTGACAGGAGGTTTTGTATCTCACCGTATAAATTCCGCTTGCTTACTCTTGTATCTGGTCTGATAGTTTTGGAAGGATTGACATTGAAGTAGCTGGTTTCAAATAGGACAAGGCCTTTTAAACTTCTTCTAGAGGCTTCTCCTCCATAAGTGAAATTTGGTTCTGAAAACCAGCTTACATGTGGTGTGGCTTCTGACTTTTTTCAGAGAGTAAGAGCTAAGCCAAGACAGCAGAGCTTGATTTGTCCAGGATGTAAGGCTGTATCTGTGTGTTGCTTGGGTGTTCCTGAGTTTTAAACTTGTTTTTCTTCAGGTGAGGGTTTTTTGGTTGCTCAGCAGTAGCACATGGGTGTTCGTCAGTCTAGAAGACTTGCTGTTTTTCAAATGTAAAAAGGCAAATTTACCCCTTGGTTCCTAACACATAGATAGGGGGGTTTTTAAACATTACTTTTGCCAAAGCGTGAAACTTCCCCCTTAAGTTCAGTTACAGCTGTTTAATGCCCAGTTCTTCTTTCCTGTTAGCTGCCTGTTTGACTCAACTGTGGGAAGCTGAATTGCAATTGCAAGGAGGAAAACTGAAAATTACTTGACTGATTTTCATTGTCAAGACTGAGAAAAATAGAGTGTAAATGAATTTCCAGAGCCATTAATGCACTGGCCACCTGGGCCATAGGTCCTGCTTTCAAGAAAGACTACTGTAGTTGAAACTATTGATTTGCATGACAGGCTTCAGAAGAAAAGTGAAGTAGCAGATAAAGCTATTTTAAGTAGATTATTGAAAGCAACCTGGAGGTCTGGACAACTTGGCAGAAAAATGATCAACAGCGTGGGGTTTGTTTGCGAACTTCTAGTAGAAATTTACTTTAAAAAACAAGGCCTACCTGTGATATACCTTTAAGGAAATGCAAGTTTGGTAGCTGCATTTTAGAAATCAAAAACCAAACAAAAATCCCAGACCATAGGAATGCCCATGTTGGACCCCAACTGTTGAAAAGTCTAAGTACTAGTCACTGAAATATATACCATAGACAGGTGAGATCTGGTGTTGTGCCTTATTATTTTTTTTTTTAATTGGGCTTTTTTGTGCTGGAGTTGTAGTTTCACTGTTGGGGGGGGACTAGTATATAGGTAAAATACATTTTACATTAAGGAATAAGAATCACAGCTGTTCTGTTGAACATTCTCACTTTATGTGCACTGAGAGTGAGGTGGATGGAGGTGAACTTGGCCAAGGGGGGAAGCCCTGCTGGGTGGCAGATGGTAAGAGAAGAGGCTGTTCTGTGTGGGAGCTCCTGGTTTGTGGGTACCCCTGCGGCGGATGGGAGGAAATGCCTAGACCAGGCATTGGGGTAGGTGATGGCGGGAGGGGGGACAGGAGGTGGCACTGGGGTGTGATTCTGCCAGACGAGCAGCACTGAACATTTGTCCTTTTTGCTGTGTTTGTGTTTTCTAGGTGCATCAGAGGCTTTCTCCTTGGCAGACTGTGAGGGTGGTCTATTGCAGTACAGTAGTGCCCTCTGATGGTGAGTATTGACATGGAGAAACTCTTGTCTCATTTTTGACTTTGCTAACTTACATCATGTTCCCTGACCCGTTTTCTGGTTGAGGCTTTTTTGGCTAGGAGGTAATCCACTTTTGAACTAAGGAAGTGACAGAGAACAAAGTCAAATCAAGAAGAATTAAGGAAATGGTCAACTTTTCTAATAACAGCCCTTACAAAACTGGACAGGCTTTATAATGAAAGATGTAATTGCGTGCAACTGTCCAAATTTTTTTTCCAGACTTTTTCCTGATGTAGCTGTGAGGTCTGTGTGGTGCCTACATTTCAGGGAACTGTCTGCCCTGTTTATTTATGTAATTGAAGTCCATTCGTAGCAGCTATTTGTTCAAATGGTTGAAAGCACTGTTTGCTGCACTAAGTTGTGAAGCCAAGGCAATTTTGTTCCTTTACTTAAATTCTGGGACAGTTCAGACATTAAGCTTTTTTTTTATAAGGTTATCATAACTTAAAGCAAAGGAATGCACTGGTGGAACTCTCAAAATCTCAGTATGCCAGAATGCAAAGAGGAAACAAGCAGCTTTGAGATCACTGCCTGCTTAACATCTGCATGCTGTGTGCGAAGACTAGAGCTCTTATGCTGACTGACACAAGCGGTTAGTGAATCCTCTCCCCATTAAGGCTTGTTAATAAAGCCTGAAAGCTAATAAAGTAAAGGACTTCAGTACAATGGCTTCCCCTGCCAGGATAGGTGAGTGTGTGCAAAACCAAAGAGAACGTGACTGAAGGCTTAAGTAAGTAGAAGTGTAGAGGACAAATAAGGTAGAGAGGATAATGTAAGCGTGTAGCTACTTGCCTGCTTTGATTTTTACCTCTCCTCATATTGTGCTTGAATATTTCTCTCGTTATTTCTTCCAATAACTTCACCTTTACCAGTAGTAAATGTTCAACACTGACTTATTTGGCCACACCGGTTTTTTTTAACTGTACTTTGTTTTGGCCTAATATCTTGCTTAAGTTGTCCTTATGCAAGAACAGAGCTCTTTAAAATATTCTAATGACCTGTTATCGGTGCACATATCGTTGAGTCAAAACTTTGTGGTCCTTGGATGAAATTCATACCTCAAAGCAACCTCACGCTTTATGTAGTGTATAAAGCTTTTAAAATCCTCCATGGTCTTACTTAGCAGCATCCCTGGCCAGGCCGAAGGTGTCTGTAAATGTAAGTGAAATACACTTATATACAATAACTTTCTTCTACTTGTCCCATGTATTTAAATACTGGCTTAAAATTTAATCAGTGAAGATTAGCCAAAATGTTAGCTCTATAATTAGTGAAATGATGAAATGTTTTGTCCACTTGGTAACTTGTAGTGGCTCTCACGCAGGCAATCCACAGGGCTGTCAGGGCAGAGGAGAGCAAGGCAGACAGCCATATCGCCGTGTCTTTTTAGTAACTTTTACTGGAGCTCTCTGTTGCTGTCTGTTAGGTTTGTGTTATTGACATGTCCTTTAAATTTTTTTCTTTTTTTATTTGCCTCTGAGCTCTTCCCTCTCCAATGCAGTAAAACTCTGACCAGACATTACTTGTGTGGGAGGTGATGAGAGGATCAAACTGGAAGTGTATGGACTTCCCCACTGATGAATTAGACTAGAAAATGGCTTTTACAAGCTTTTTTTTAAGGAAAACATAAACCAGCTGTAATTCCAGGCTTACTGAGCCTGTCTTCTGAAGGACAATAATTTGGTTTTTAACACTTCACCTAAGCTGGAAATCTGTCAGAAAGTTTCTGTGTATGTTACCAGTGCTGAAGACTCTTGGTGGTGTCTGACCTATTGCGTTTATCACTGTGGTCTCCATCTGGTTTGTGGAGGATTAAAACACAGCAGGGCTGGTGCTGGTAGGCACTTCCTCCAGAGCTGGCAGTTATTGTGTTGTACAGCACACAGAGAAGTGTTGGTGCAAATGCTGTTATCTCTTCTGCTCTACAATGAACTGGCTCACTGCCTGTGTGATCAAGGTAGCATTTTAAATAAAGAATATTCTTCATGTCTTGTGGTTATGTAAGCAGTACGTAAGTTAATGTTGTGTATGCTGCTCACAGAACCAATGAATTCAATACTTAAGTGGCTATTTTAAGCTTCTAAATGTGTTGACCATTCCTTTTGAGCCTGCTATGACAAGTGTAGCTAATGCTAATCTATTTCTTACAAGTCTCTTGCTTGAATACTTGAGTGAAGGAATGCAAAAATCTGATAGCTGGTGTCATAACAGCTGCCGATAAGCTGCTTGAAATTCAGTCTGTCCAAATAAATTGGCAGTTTGCTTTATTTTTTTCAGTAAATACCTCACTGTTGTCTGAGTTTTAAGCTTTGAAACACTAAAGCTACTAAAATCCTATCAGGTGTCTGAGTCTTGAGAATAGTCATTTAAGCTTCCAAATACTGGGGCCTCTTGGGATGCTTTAGTCTTCTTAGATGTCCATACTCGGTCACTTCCACCTAGTCTTTAAAGGGGACATGAGGACCTCTTTGTCAGCATGGGATAGCAACCCCCTGGAAGAGGGAAAAGCCTTTGCATGCTTGATTCAATTCACGAAGGCATGTGACAGCAAACTCAAAAGCCTGTGAGAACTCTTCTGGCTTTGTAAAAGTGTGCTTGGTGGAGCCTTTCTCAACATACAAAAGCTTCCCTTTCCAGAAAGGCTTGCTGCCCCGAGACTTGTCCTAATATGCAGATGATCTCATGATAAATGGGTTCATCATTTGGCAACCAGTCATTGAAAGAAGAGGTATAAAGGCTGTTGGTGGCAATACTTTCTGAATAGTGGCACGCTGAGAAATCATTCCCTTCGGTAGTTAAAATTGCATTATTTGATTCTATTTCTACTTGCGTTGAGTTCTTTGAGCAATGAGTTTTGATGTTAGCTGCTTAAATTGACTTGGCATGTCAATATGTGAGTTAGTGAGTTTAAGTAGATGATATGCTTCATGTAGCTGGCCAAAGCTACAACAGGTGGGAATGCTAAGCCAGATGCAGTGTGGGTGGGTGCCACTGCACAGTCCTTGAGACATGGCAAAGGCTCTGTGCAATAAAAAAGATTGTAGATTTTTACATAAGGAAAATACATAGCAATCCAAAGTGAATCATTTTTAGGCGTGCTGCTATATCTTAGCAACTACTGCACTTGGGGACAATTTTGACTGTTTGACTCAGTAGAGGGCTTAGGGAATATGAACTTCTGACTTCTCTTTTCTATGTATGGATATCCCGAAGCTCACAGAGTGGGCTGTCTTTCTGGCAGTAAAATAATAACTAGCTTACAGTTCACACAGGTCGCTACCATAAATTTTAGAAGGTGCACTGAAATCCTTACGAATGCTCTGAAAAAGTTCCTGACAGAGCTGAAGAAATGGAAAATGTTTTATCTACACCTAAGAAGTAATATCTGTCTTCTGAGGTACAAAGTGTATTGATCCCATGAATTTTAGATGAAATGACCTTGAAGCTTAAACTCGGAGTGCTCTTCCAACAGCCTCATATTCCTGACTGCCCTCTTAAATTTTTGTTGCCTCAGGACAAAGAGGAGGAAACCAGAACTAAACAAGAATAAAAAGGGTTGAACCTAGGTCCTTCCCTGATTTTTCCTAATATACACAGTCTGCCTTTGCCTTCTGGGCTATAAATCCTGTTAAATTGCACAGTGTTTTTTTCTTCCATAGTCCAAAATACTTTGATTCCCAAAAACTAACCAAAACATACTGTGCTGCCATGTCATGCTTTTAGATATCATGTTGCCTTTAGTCTAAGTGTGATTGCGCTTACAGTAAGTATCTCTTACTTCTTACACAAAGCACAGAAAGTTTAACAGATACTGCCAAGTTAATGGGAGTGAAAACCTCTGATATTCCTCAGTTTTTCTTTGGTGGACAGATGGTGAATCAAAAACTTTGGCTGTTTTGTGTCCTGCTCATAACTATGTTTGTCTCTTTCTCCATGGGACAAACACAGAACTATTACAAGAAGATATGTTAATTTTTAATTATAAACTTGTATTTTTGTCATCTTTGTAGAAGTGACGGTGGTTTACCAAAACGGGTTACCTGTGATTTCTGTGAATCTTCCATCCCGGCGTGAACGTTGCCAGTTCACGCTTAAACCTATCTCAGACTCTGTTGGTGTGTTCTTACAACAGCTGCAAGCAGAGGACCGAGGAATCGATCGGGTTGCAATCTACTCAGCAGGTACTGTGGTGGTTTACAACCTGATTGATTTACTTACTTGCCAGATACTTTCATTCAGCATTTTGCTTTTCAAGTCAAAGTTTACGATGGTGTGAGTTCTTCAACTTTCCTGAAAAAGAAGGTAGAAATGCCATTGCTAGAGTAAGAATATTGTTAGCTCTCCCTGTGTAGTCACGTCTGCCAAGGAAATCTGACTGTAGAGCGAAGGAAAACATTCCTAATGCTTGGCTTGTAGACATCAGTCCTAATGGAGGTGTGTTTGCTGAGTTTCCTACTATGTAATAGGAAAGATACAGGCTATGCAACCTATGTAGAGGTGCTAATCAATTTGTAAGGAATTGGGTGTAAAAGGTGTGGTACAAGGGAAACAGTCTCTTGCTTGGTCAGGAAAACGCATCATGTTTCACTTAATGCTTCCTTCACTGTTTTGCTCAATTGCTCTGTGTCTGCTAGCCACCAAAGCTCTGAAACTTTGTTAGGGTGTCTTATGAATGTGCCATCAAAGCAGGTATTTCCTTAAAAGTCTTGGCCTGGGAGGGGTTGTTTGCTAGGTTAGTGATGTCAAAGCTGTCCAATAACGCTGGTGGGGAAAGATTAAGGTCACTTAAGTGGATAGTATTGCAAAACATAGTAAAATAGTCCAAGTGTGAGGGCTGAAGGGAACTGCTTTTTATAAGATGACCCCAAATATGACCAATATAGAAAAGCTACTGCATACATAGCTTGTATTTGCCATGTAAGGTCTCCCAGTACATGTATCCATCCTGACAGAGAGTATCATCTGTGGGGAAATGTAGAAGTCCAATAGTTGGATTCGGGATGGCATTACAACTTAGCCACAGCGCGTTTAGGTCCTTTGTTTCTACTGTTTTAATGAGTCGTCTGTGTTTGCCTTACAGATGGCACACGTGTTGCCTCCTCCACAGGCATAGATTTGCTTCTGCTGGATGACTTCAAACTGATCATTAATGATATCACGTACCATGTTAGACCACCAAAGAGAGGTAAAGCAGCCTGGTGCTGGTTAACATCAGAAATAAATTTCAGTATTCAGTTTCCTGTTTAATTGCAGCGTACTTCATTAACTTGTTCAAGAACGTGAAGTGTTATTTCTAAAGGAAACGTTGCAGTTTCTAATCCTGCCCTTGGAGTCTGATTTAGTGATAGCCAAGTAATAAGAGTAGTTAGTAATGAAAAGCAAATATTCATTCTTCTCAAAGCCAGTACCCCCTGCATGAGGAATAAATGAAGAAACGTAATTTCTTTCAATTTCTAAATTCTTCTGAATTTTTTGTAGTTACAGGAAAGTAATTTAATTGAACTCATTCCAAAGGAGTACAATACAAAATGGAAATTAGATTGAAACGTACATTATCCGATTTGGAAGAATAAATAGTTCCTTCCTAATGTTTCCTTTTAAGGGTGGTACTTTAGGTATTGCAAACAAACCTTGAAACCTTGTTAGTTAACAAACAGTGAAATAAATGAGACCGTGCTCTTATGAGGTTGGGTTACTAAGAATCAAATAGGAAGGAAAAGCAACCTATTTTGAATCAATAAGAAAATTGTTTTAAATAATGGGCTTTGGACACTTGTGTAATTTTCAAGATACGAAAACTTGCAAGAAGCTTTTGAGACACTCCAGTTGTTGCCGGAGGCAGGAACTTGGTATTTTTATCTACCATCTAGTTTTTCTCCTAGGCAACTTTATAGGCTTCATAAAGCACCAGGTTGTTGCATGCCTGTACTTATATCTGAGGACTTAAATGAAAGGACCAGTTTTGGGAATGTTGGTCTGCTTGTTGCTCGGCTCACAGATAGCAGGGGATTTTTGTTTACCTTATTGTTCTGCTATTGTTGCAGGCAATAATGTGAAGTTTGCAAGCAATATTTTTCCAAAAAAGAATTTTTAGACCTGTAGATGGGCAAACAAATTAGGAAGGATTTATAACATGACTTGCATGTCCAGTTGAGGTTAGATGGTGGAAATACCTTCTGCTATTTATCTGGAGGTTTTCCCTAGCGTTCAGGCCTTCCTCTCTTATGCCTCTGAGCAGTAGAGAATGAACAAAATCATTCACAAGGCAAAAGCTGTGAGGGAACTGTTAATGTTCTTTTTACTGTCTTGACCAGCCTGAATAAGGCAACACATTAAAGCAAGTTGATCTGTCAAAAATTGGGTGACTGACCATATCTTTTGGGTCTGAGAGTACCCTGGGTGGCCGACTTCTAGGAAGATCTGCTGATATATGCCATCTTCCTCTGTAGATGTAGTTAGTTTCCAAGGACCTTTTTGCAAGGAAAACAGTAAAAATGTATTCTAGCATTTTATTGCTTACAATACAAAAATATCAAGTAAAAAAGAAATTTCTGACTTGGGGAACTTTGTGCAGCCAGTTATCCTTAGTATGTGGGAGACTCTGGAACTGGGAGTACAGCATTGGGTGAGATGCTGTTTCTCCTCTATCTATGGGTTAGACTGACCTCCACTAGAGAAGGTTGTTGTTTTTTTTTTTTTTCCAATCTCCTTAAAGTCACCTTAATGGAAGAATCTCCATTAAGACTGGATATCTAAATGACTGTGTATCACACACACAAGAATGTTACTCTCTGTTCTGTCACCCTGCTGCTCTGTGTCCTGGATGTGGTGTTCTCATACTCTTGTAAGGGGAGTGAGGGTTTTAATGAGGTATCTCTTCTGACTGTTAGCCCCTGAGAGCAGGTGATAGTGTCAAGCCTAGTGGTCTAGTTGGTAATTTTTAATACAGCTAAATAAGAATGCAAACACGGTGTCTGTTTCTGCACAGGAGAAATCGCTGTCCCAAGGTAAGGCAATTCATACATCCCACTTACTTGATGTTTGAGAGACCAAAGTCTGTGTCAGTGAGTCAGTGTGGTTTTTGGTTAGCTTGCTTTTGTGTTATACCCATCGCGCGCTGGTAGGTGAGCTCTAGGATTGCCTAGGTTACATGAAATTGCTGCTTCTGATTCATTTGCCAAGGAGATTTCTATAGTTAGTTTGTATTCAAATGAATGTGCCCATAAATGGGCACTGAGATTTGTTCTGTGAAACTTTTCAGCTATTGCTTTTCCATTTTTACAAAATCACCCTGTGTATTTTGAAATGGAAGTACCAGAACACTGTAATCTTAAATACAAAGTACTTTTTGATGGTCAGTTCAGTAGGACCATATGGGTTTTCTTCATAGGGGAACGGGAGCCCTTTAACTGGGAGGGGGATATGGCGTGCTTTGTGTGCCTTTGCACGGACAACTGAGTCACTTCTTTCTGTCGAGCTGCTAGTGTTAAAACTTAAGCTGTCCATAGTTTATGTTTTTGGAAAAATCATATTTCAAGAAGATAACCTAAGGTAGGAGCCTAAGTATGCTACAAAAAATATTTTTTTAAACATTTATTTCTTCATTTGGCTAATGTCAAGTTCTTTTGCTTTAATCTGAAACTTGTGGGGTTTTTTTTTCCAAATGGACTGTGTAATACAATACCACCAGTCACAACTCTTTTACAAATTTATTTCCTTTAGGAATCCTTTTTGTGTTGAAATGCAGGGATAAAGGCTGTTTCAGTTAGTGGCCCTGTTACCTGCCTCTCTTTAAATACTGTGAGGGAGAATTTCATTGCCCTGTAGGCAGCACAGCAGGGGGTTGCCTGCAGAGTGCTGGGAAACAATTCCTGGCATTGGTACTCAAAATAGTTGGTCTAAAACTGCATATTCTGGGTCCACTAACCCAGGGTATCCGGTTGCCATCATCAGTAACTATGGTTGCTGACAGTCTCCAGTCTGAAATCTGGCTGTTTCTTGACAGCTGGTGTGATAGATCATACTGGTTTCGTTTTTCATTTGTCTTCATTGTCTTGTATATAAATATGGATCAGAAGGAGCTGTTGATACCTGACAAGCTTAATAGTAAGTATCTCTTTTCCTTGTTCTTGTCAAATTTTAGGAATATCCAGTAATAAAGCCTGATTTTCTTTTGAAGAAATTGTGTTGTCTTAGAGTGCTGGAGTTCTTTCAAAGGCTTCTCTGTTGAAAAGATAGTTTCATACATTTCCTGTGCACGCTAATAGCAGTTTCTGAAGAGTATATGAGAACTTCTGTGGATACATGCATATAAAGCAGTCTTTTTTTTTTTTTTTTCCCCTAGAGCTCTTAATGATTTTTTGTTCCACTGGATGGTACTGTGGTCTAATTAGTAAATACTTTCAGGATATTTCTTTCAACTCAGGAGCACCAGCTGAACAAAGAGAAGGAGCTCATAGGGAGACTAGAGGAATTGAAGGAGCAACTAGCACCACTAGAAAAAGTGAGAAGTTTCTCATTGTATTTTACTTATCCTCCAAATACAGCTTTAATTTATTTCAAGGTTTTAATTAGGTCCTGGCATGCTTCAAATAGTTTTAAGATCACTGAAGCAGAAGAGGCACTAAGTGTATACCAAGCCATGTCTGTTTCTGGTTTCTGTGGAAGTATTTTGTTTCCTTGCTTTATATAATTGGAAATGAACTTGGTAGCAAATAAAGACTCAGGCTAATGCAACAGAATGTCTCTGAGCGCAGAGAAGTAAACACCTTTGCAAGGCATTCAGAGCATGCTCAGAGTAAAATATGGATGATGGCAAGATACTGATAGAAAAGAAGTCTAGAATTGTCTGCATAATCTAGACTCAAATCATGTGTTTCAAACTACTTAGCATTAATATAAATAAATAATGCTATTTTTACATTATCTCTTAATGATATTAACATCATTATTTTTGAGAATACAAGGTATATGCTTTTGTCTTCTACAGGTAAGGATGGAGCTCA